GTTTGCATGTTTTAGTTAGAACAGCACACATAGAATGCAATTTATACAAATGAAATTTTAATTTCGCTTAAACTTTAAAACATATATTTAATCGTAATTTTTTCCAACAATTGATTAACTTAAATAAGTCAGGTTTAAACAAATTATCACTTAAGTTAATCAATGTGTGCAATGAACGGCTCATTTATCAATCTATTCAATATATCTTTGTTCAATTATTTTATTTAAGTATTTCACATCAACTACATCAACTACAAGGTTATTAGTGACAACATCAATAACTACAATTTAATTACAGTTTATTCAATATATTATGTTTAATTATTTTTACTAATTTGAGGAATTCGCTTTTGTTAAGAATTATCTTTATAGTATTTAGATATTTTAACTCTATTCGATCCTCCGTTGCATTTCTTGACATTCTTCAACTTTCAACAAGTATTCCACATTGTTTTCAAGATGTTTTCAATAAAACGATCAATTAAAAAAGAACTCCGTCCTTAACAACCAAAATGTTAGCCGCGCGTCTCTGGCCGAGAGTATTCAGCAAAAAAACAGAAAGGGTTAATTACGACCCCCGAAGAGGAATTCAATCCGCGAGATTCAGTCGCGACGCAACAATTCGTGGGTTCGTCCGTCGACGGCCTCGCATAGTTTCACGAAAATGGACCAGGCTCGAGACGACAGAGGTGATAGACGAGCCTGAACGTGGACGAACGCTCTAGGATCCCGCTGCTCCTTTTACAGGCTTACGTATCTGGGACGTAATCGGTCGCATCGTTATTCCGCTCCCGAGGTGACGCAATCCGTCGCAGATTCCTCGCGGGGATCGCTCGAGGATCTCGTTCCATCGACATAGTTCGCTGTTTCAGGATCAGAATCTTGGCGGACGCGAATATGGAAGGAGCGTGTCGATTCGTCACGTACTCGTGGTCGTCGTCGCTCGTGCATTCACGCCGTGGACGCCACGGACACATCTCGAATCTTTAATCCGACACCTAACGTCGCGTGCATTTCTAAACAGTCCGCCCATCTCGTCTTTTTGCTTCCTTTCGTTCGCTTTGTTTCTTGCCCTCCGCCTCGTTTCTTGCTCACCACCAGTTCCCATTTCGAGTCTTTGTACCATGCCACTGGACGACACCTTGCCAACTTGTCAGCTTTGTCAGCGAGATATTTTCTACCGTTCTCTCTCTCGATGCCAGGGGCGCGCTGGCTAGCTGTGATTTCGCGTCGCGTTCCTTTTGCTAATCCATGGAAACCGTATCGTCGAGAAGGACTCGTTAGAAGACCTTGGTCAGAGACTTTGATGAGTCGATGCAAGAGTTTCTGGTTGCTGGATGACCAGCGGTCTGATTGTTATCGTTCACTCTTCGCTAAATCCTTTCGCTTGGAAAGTTGGGGTCTTTCGAAAGATTTTACTTAGCGTTGTGTATTTTTTAGCGCAAAGGTAGGAGTTGGGGTAATCGTCTCTCTATTAGGCATTAAGGAGTTTCACAAAAGGGGATTAGAGATTTTGTTTTTTGATAAAAGACAAATGGTATTGAATGTACACGCTGTTTTTACTGGAAATGAAAGTATGCGTTATTGTAATTAACCCTTTGAGTTCCAAGGAGCGATATGCTGCATTTCCAAAAAGGGCCAACAGCGATATATCGCTGCTCGACGCTGTAAGTGCAATAATTCATTAAAAAATCAATTTTGCTCTAAGTTCATGTTTTTATGAAACTATTTTCTTTATACACATTTATTTTTTGTTAACCCTATAACGTTCTATTATTATTTTTGTAGTAATAAAGGAAGTTCAACATGTTTTTAGTATCGTGTACAAGTTTCATGAATCTTAAAATAAAATTGACCGAAATATACATTTTTGTTTACAATTATGAATCTTTGTTTGAAATTAATTGGCATTTCTCTGATATGTATGAAAATTTCCTCCGGGACTGCCGCGATTTTGCAGCGCTATAAGTCGCGATTGCTCTGTTTTATATGAAAATAATTAAAATAATATAAAACATAATTACAATATAATACTGAAATATGATTATAAATAATAATATACGGAGTTATTTGAAACGTTCGTCAAGATTCTACTAAAAAACTTCTATTCTAATAATATGTATAAAGTTAAATCAATAATGCACTTTTGATACCAAATAATCTGGCTACAATTAAAACTCACCACCAAAGCAGACAAGATATAAAATGAAATTACAGTAAGTTATTTTGTTAAAGACGTTCCAGTTGACTCCAGCTCCCCAATATTTTCAATGCAGATCCCTAACTTCAAACCTTTTTGTAATAATTTATGCGTCGCGTCATTTTGAATAGTGTAAATATAAATAAATGTTCGAGTTAAGTAAAAAGTACTCATAATATCAAATACTAGCACAGTGTCTACTACAGGTGCTCCTATCTTTAGTCTTTTTAACAACAGCGAGAAATGCATCGCCCCTGCGCTTATGCAACAGCGACGACCGACGGTCCGTTATTCGAGCATGATGCACAGGGTGCAGTGGCACGAGGAAACCGCGGACGTTCGCGTGCTCGTAAAAACCGTCGGGATCGGTTGAAACTTGAAACGTGTTGCGTGAAACCCGTCTATATAACGTGTTGCCGCCTACCGCGACGGGAGCAGTGAAAAAATCGCATAGGAGACGAGATGACACGCGTGTGCGCGATAGTCGATTCGATATTAATGCTACGATAGCGACACTAGTATGTAAAAACGGTTCATAGTTGCATCGATCAACCCTTACCCCGCGAATTCTGGATCCTTTCGACTCGAAGAATATTTCCCAGTTTAAAGAACCACCAAGAGACACTCGGTGTTTATTTTTCTTCTTTGAGAAAGCTTGTTAGGATGTATAAATAAATATTCTACGTTATTTGTGGAAGCGAAATATTCCATGATTTTTAAAATGAGTCTGCAGACTTTCTTGACAAAAATCTGGACTAATTGGCAACGTGACTGTTAAGTTAGTATATATCATATACTGTTAGGTGTATATATACCGTCTATGTTTTATGTAAATAAAATCCTAAGAGTTCTTTTACCTTTGCAACGTCTCGATTTGAGAAAAATATTATTCTTTTAGAATGATTCATCTGTTTGGATCAATGATTTATAGAAATGGCTAAATAATTAGAAGTTCGGCCTCTGGAGTCCATAAGGTGATAATATCGAGGAAATTATATGGATGGTCATTTATAATGATGGAAAACAAAATTGATACAAGTTTTGTACTAATATTAAATACAGAATTAGTTATTACAAGTATTAGCAACTTGTATTAATTATTAGAATTAGGAAGTTGTCGTTTACACTCCATGAGATGAAAGGAACGAAAAGATTATATACATACTCATTTATAATCATTAATATTAAATTCAGTATAGGATTATTACTGATATTATAATACTTGATAATGTGTATTATAGATTAATGATTAAATTGCTGTTGAATAGTGTATTTGTGTGGACTACGACTATATCAGACTCCTTCTTTCTGTTTCAGGTGACGAGATATTGAGTTTGAATGGAAAGGTCCTGCGCGGCTACACGCATCAAGAAGTTATCGAATTATTTAAAGCGGTAAGAGAAGGTCCAGTTGAGCTGGAAATCACAAGGAGACACAGGTACTGTAAATTAATGTTGTATAGAGTACTAAAATACTGACAAAGATCAGGGACACCTTTTTAGGATTTCGTTGTGGCAGTGGAACGAATTCATATAAATTTATAATTTTGGTTAATTTGAAATTTTTAAGTTAACAACTCCATTGATATTTAAATGATCATTTTAATTGACTATTCAGAATGTGCAAATCGCGCTTCCCACGGAAATGTAGTTGATCTTTGACGAAATTCTGAAGGTGAAACCTCCTGTATATGTATAGTATTTTATGCGTTATGAATATTTACTATTTGTGAAAGTATAGGATCATTTAGGATGTACAATAAATGCTCTAAAGTTGCTTTTGTCAGAAATAATACCCACCAGAATGAAATGAAATAGATTATGATGTAATGTTGTTTCCACAAATAATTTGTTATCTTAAATTTACCTAACTTTAGTTCTTGGAATATATAAATTTGCACTTTTGTTTAAAAAATTAAAGGTAACAGAATACACGTACTGTATATTTGAAATAAAATGTAAAGGAATATAAGTACCATATTTTGATTGAAATTAAATCCTAATAATGTTAAAACTACTTCGTTTACTATATAAGAAGAATAATTCTATGTTATAAAAAATATATAACATACATTTAAAGAAATTTTTGCAATTTTGAAATCCTGAGCTCCACAATTTTGGTTGCAAAAAATGACTTTTATAGTTATTGCAAAATGGTACCCGAAGAAATTCAGACTTGAATTCTCAGAGACACTTCCGTTACATCTTCCGTTTGAGCTGTAACCTTAATTACCATATAATTTCAAATTGAAAACAAAATTTTTTCTACTCCCTCTAACGTAAAATACATCATTTGTTTCAGGTATCCAAAAACTATTCAGAAATCCGCGCCATGCTGAAGGGATGGCAACGTGGACGAATCTGCCCACCGAAAGTGCTCTTTCGATACAACTCTAAGCGACCTTATCGTTCGCTACGTACGAAGTTTTAGGATTCTAGTCTATCAGAACGAATCTTCGATCTTTGATGTTTGTTTCGATTAATTTATTTATCGCGGTATCACAGTTGCGTAGTACTAATTTTATTATGAAATGGTTATTATTATTATTATTATTATTATTATTATTATTATTTTTATTAATATTATTATTGACATGATTATCATGATTATGATTATTATTTTAATTATTATTATTATTATTATTATTATTATTATTATTATTATTATTATGACTATAAGATTTTATACAGATGCGTTACAGAAACGTAAATCTATTGTATGCGACTTTTTTTATTATAGAGGACAATAAAGTGGACGTACTTTTAAGGTGCTTCAGGATCTGCTTTGCGAGGATGTTGCGTAAAACAGGCAGTGACGAAAATTTATTAAATAATAATTTTATTATCATGAAACTTTACAAATTTACAGTATGTACAGGTCCCGCATTTGTTTTTACAGGGGTTGCGGTGTTATTCTCTCCTTTTTACAATTCTTCTTGTACAATGTTCTCTTATGCGTCGACGAGTAAAAGGTCTGCGCACGACTTAGCCTTCGTTGCCCTGTAACATAGACATTTATCTATTCAATCTCAAATAAAAATTTTCTATTCGTACGCATATCACCACGATTGCTTAAGTGTGTAAATTTTGTGGACATAAGGTTGCATTAACTTGTAACAAAAATATCTTCATATTCCTTGAACTTCATTCTACCAAACGTGTATTTGAAAAACGTAAAGTTACTTTTGAATTAACTCTGGAAAAATAGAACTCGTGCATGTGAAAAAATAAACTGCTTTCCTAAAGAACGAACTGCAGTTAGAATAAAAATAAAATATTGCTAAACAATTCAGATAAACAAAAGGACGAAACTCGTATACATGGAAAATTAAATGTTATATTACACATGCAACATACAAGATACTCTCATTTCCATTACTTTTCCCTCTCATTTTCCTTTAATTTTCCTATTTTATTTCTGTCGTTTACTCAATACTTCCATGACATTTCTTTGTCAGTTTCCAATTTCTTTTTTTCAACCCATTTTCTTTACGTTCCTATTCCACTCGCTAGAGATCATTTCCCCATTTACTTTCCCATTATATTATTTATATTTTTTGCTTTGTTATATACTTAGCGAATTTTAACTTTGTAGTTTTTCGCGATTGCCATAATCCTTTACTTTATATATTTTGCAACTTTGATGATCATTAGAGTATTTTGCTTTGCAGCTTTGTAGTGAATTTGGGACTTCCAATTTTGTCACGTTTAAAATAATTTTATTTGCAACTTTGTTGCGTTTAAGTAATTCGATTTGCAATTTTGTTGTTCGGAGAAAAGCAAGTTTCCAAAATTCGAACCCATCGGCTTGCAACTTTGTTGCGTTCAATGTAATTCTATTTGCAACTTTGTTGCGTTCAATGTAATTCTATTTGCAACTTTGTTGCGTTCAATGTAATTCTATTTGCAACTTTGTTGTTCGGAGAAAAGCAAGTTTCCAAAATTCGAACCCATCGGCTTGCAACTTTGTTGCGTTCAATGTAATTATATTTGCAACTTTGTCGCATTCAATGTAATTCTATTTGCAACTTTGTTGCGTTTAGTAATTCGATTTGCAATTTTGTTGCTCTTCAGAGAAATGTAAGTTTCCAAAATTTTAGGCTACCGGGTTGCAACTTTGTTGCGTTCAAAGCCATTCTAAATTGCAACTTTGCTGCGTTGCAAGAAATTTGATTTACAACTTTGTTGCTCTTCCGAGATTTACATTTTTGTTGATTTTGAAATATTTGTCAACATTATTGACTTTTCAGAATGCATGTTTATGGAAGATAATAGAAAAATGGAATGAGAATTACAAAGAGTCTGGAGGAGGGTAATTGAAAAGAAAGTGAAAGCAGATTGAATGGAGTATGAATGGGGAATATGGAACGAAAACTTAAGGAAATTCGAAATAGGCTGAAAAGAGAATGAGTTTAAGAAAAGTGAGAAATGATAAGAAAAAGATGAGAAATGAAGGGAAAATTATAGTATGGCGAAAGGACAATGAATGAAATAAATGTAGTGAGAGTTCCGAGCCTTCACGGCAAAAGCTAAGGTACGATCGAACAGGTCAGCATATTCGGGCGAAACATGCATAAGAACACTGTATATAAAAATAAAACCCGTGTCTCGCACTGTACAAAACGCCATTGAAGCATCTCCTCCCATCTTCATAATTGAAACTTGACTTTCCTTTTTATTTATTTTATATTTTTCAAAGGTGATACATATTTGGTAGAAAGAAGAATCATGGAATAGAAAACTGGTGCAACGTGGGTCAGATTTTATAACACGGCGGTTTTATATTAAAAATAAATCTTTTATATCAATTTTTGGTATGACACGATCGCAAGGACAAGATATCGAGTAGTCGTTAATAATTCTAATACGAAGTAGAGACTATTTAAGATGATCTCGTTCATCAGGAGTTTCTGAATATAGTTGAATATATCATTATACTCACAGAACTTCCTTGTTTTTTACACGTCGACAAAGATGCAAGGCAATTGGTCCAGCTTTGATATTGCGGAAGAGCTGAACGGCCTTTCTGTGAGTTAAGTCGTGACAGACGTGGCCATTCACTGCCAGAATCTCGTCACCTGCGCGCAAACGGCCATCTTCTGCGGCTTGCCCTCCTGGCAACACCGACTTTATAAAGATACCTGTCACAGACGAACGATGTGGTGAGAAAGTACGCAAGGAAAATTAAATAGCAGGTGACTACGACTCGCAGGAAACAGTAACAATATAATAACTCTTAACGGTACTACTTACTCGCAGACAATAGTTAAGTTCATAAGTGAACGTTTAATAAAATTTCAGTACGGTCGATAAGTAATGTTTACGGTTAGCTAAAGATATTAGAATCGAGACCTAACAACATAGTCTTAGTGAAATACTTGTAGCCTGTAGCAAATTTTTACTAATATTACAAATTAAACTTGAAGCAGTTCTTGTTTACATGACACCATGAGATCTTAACAATTTTATAATTACGAGTTTCAAGTGATCAAAAGAGTGTTCCTAAACTGTAGTTTACATTCAACTCCTTCACGACAATTTCAATCCTCCGTTTACTAAATTTGGATAGATTCTCGTACACGTGACACTGTGAGAACTCTTTTGAGTGATCAAAAGAGCTGTACGAAATAACAGTCACTCTACACTCGTCGCAACAAAAATATCAGACATCCGTTTACCAGTGGATACTTTCGTTCACAGACAGTTGCTCAAGCGTTGAAATACTTGGGTACTTAAATTTATAGACCTGACGGCCCAGAAAGCTACAAGTTCTAGGAGTTTTACTACTCTTCTGCCCTCGCTTTGTTGCATTCCAGGTTAACGTTCCGAAAAGGGACGAATGAAAAGATCGGCCAATTAGAAATATCTATACGTGTTCAATTGAACTGTTTCACTCATACATAGTGCATGTATTAGGGGGCCCAGAAAGTAATGTCGTTTCTTTCACATTAAATTCAAACAAATAAATTTATAACAAGTTTTTATTTTTAAACCTTTCGCTATCTACTGAACAAATTTTCAACACCTGATCGATAAAAATCAATTTGTACACGATGAACTGATAAACGATAAACAAGTATATAACATTCGCAGAAACGACATTACTTTCTGGTCCCCCTAGTATATGCAAACTCTAAATTAAATCATTGTCATCCTATTTACAATCAATCTGTTAGTCAACCAACACGTCTACATCTTGATCAATATCCAAGTTAAGTACTAGTATTCTTTGATTACCTTTATCAAAAAATACATAGCTCACAGAAGGTATTCACTCGTCTCGACAAAATTAATTCTTAACGCGATACTCTACTCATCTTGGAAATCTTCAACCTAGACAACATAGACACTTGAAATTTACGACTCTTGCCTGAAGTGTAATAGAATCAGCTCTGAGGAAGTATGTTAAATGAAAAATGAAAATCCTCGATATAGTTGATATAGGTACTCGAATCTCATAATTTATAGATAACATAAACAACTGAATTTTATGACTCTTATCATCCTCAATAATCTATATCGTCATTATGCTTCATCATATAATATCAAAAGCAAGCCTTGATTCCAACTTCCATCAAAAATTAACGGAAGAAATCATAAAGACCAAATGTAATCCGACTATTACCTCATAGATAACAGAAATAGATCTTCGAAGATACGGCACACGCCTAATTGATTCTTAACGTCATTCCCTCATCTTGCAAATCCTAAACGAAAACAACATAGGTACTGTGACCTCGTGATTCTTATCTCTCCAGGAAGTAGCTAGATGTATTCTACATTCGAATCGAAGGAACAATGTTCCGCATGCAGGAACTTAATGAAAAGTACTCAAACCAGGTGACTTCACCGCGATGTTTCCTGTACTAACGAAACGCAGATTCTACGCGCTGGTTTGGCCACGATTGCGGGTACCGCGGCGTCGTAAAACTCGAGACCTGCTTGTATACATGCATAAGCAATTTATCGACTACGCGTACGTCGGTTCGAGCTAGCGCGTAAACGTTATGGCAGGAAACCGCTGCCATATCTAAGCAGCAGACGGTGTCGCGATCGGTGATATTTTTGCTTGCTTGAGATCCCAGCTTCTCCAAATAGACGTCACCGGAGCGAAGAACACGCGATGATAAGACGCTCTACGCAGCGATAGGATTAAGGCACGATAATGAAAAACATTGGGTATTTTTATCGCGACAGTCGAATTCGACGTGAACGGGCACATCGGGGTAGAATCATGCTGCGAGTCGGAAGCTGATAGACTATAGTAGCGAAGCAATGTATGACGCTTGGGCCTGAGGAGGAATATTGGAAGTTAGGGCTTTCCATACTGATCTGCTACACTGTGGGGCGTAACTATAGCACCACCTTTAAAGTTTAAACAATATTGAACAGAATATAGTTTCTGTTATATTTCTGTTATTTTAAAGTTTAAACGTTTCGAACTTTTGAGTTGATATGAAATAGAATCGTATGAATTGAACGTGTCAGGACCATTAAAGATGAATTCTTTTCGTCTGAAAATTTATAGAAACCAATGAAGAAGGGTCAAATTACTTACAGTTTTAAAAAGTACTTCAATGTCTAAACTTACTTTGCGTTTTCCAATTTATATGCATGTTTCATCACTCTGATCTAGCAATTTCAATCTGTGCAAAAATTTGTAGGTGTAGACTTTCACTTTTGTCTGACAACGTTAGGACCTTTTTTAAAGACTTGGTGTACAGCTCATCGTGAAATATTCAGATTATATTCTCTTGTGACTGCGACTGCTATTTTTAACAATAAACAGTTCTGCAAAGAGATTGGAGGTTGAAACGACATACTCGATTAATACTGAATCTCAACATTGACGGTATCGAATAAGTTCTGTTCAATATTGGTAATCCTTAATGCATTCAAGAAGTAATAAATGCTTTTAATAGAATCTGGCACTTAACCTTGGCATAATAGATTTTGCTACAGGCCACTATTCCAGTTTGAGTATCACATATATAAATAGGAAAACTGTTTGTTTTAGTAATGGTGTCTTTGACGAGATCTCAAGGAGATCTTCATTTATTCAGACGAATTATTATATATATAATTCATTCTGCAGAGTGAGTACAACTTATCATGTATGATATTAAACACATAATCGACTCGTCTTGTATTCAAGTAGAATATTAGAACCGGTAGTGCTTCGAAACCAGTTTTGGAATACCCTCGAAACGATTACGTAATTAGTATTAGTTTGTCTAGTGCGGGATAGCATAGTGGCAATGACAGTGTATAGCACTCGAATGGTACCGAACAACGAATAAAACTATTGTTGCTTGACAGGAAATGTTGAAGGCTTTTAAAAATTTTATTATATTTAAATTTTAGTTTGAATAACACGTTGAATCCTATCACGAGGTTAGTGTGTTAATGTTAACTGATCTCGAGATTGATAACCTTCAAATTAGTCTGTTAATGTTAACAAACTCGGAATTAACGAGTTGCGTAGGAATAATATCGAACTCTTTAAGAAACGACTGTTGCATAATCGCATTAAGATTTGTAAAGTACGAAAAAATTTGTATCGCATACATTTAAGGTATCTTAAGAAAACTCCGAAATTAATATAGAGCGGTCTCAAGTTAAACGATCAGATTGTAATTACTCTATGAGTAGATATAAACAATATTATATCAATATAGATTCAATGCTTGATTAAAGTCTTGTAGGTATAATGGATAAATAATACTTTTTGTTAGAAAAGAATTCTAACACTTTTGTACGAATGCTGTATACAATATTGATATTTATTTTCGTCGAGACAGGTTACATTTAAAACCTTTGAGAATTTTTAACAACAAATGTGTACAGTAAACCCTTCTATAACGCGGTACCTTTAAAACATAATTTTCATGTAACGCGATACGAATTAATTTGATTCACACAAATTTTAAATTCCTTATACCACGGTACGAATTAATCGTGATATAGAAGGTTCGACTGTATTTATATAAATAATTTGCTTGTAAGTGAAATTAATTTTTAAAATGGAATCTTATATATTTGTATCTATAACTAACACGTGTTTAAACAAATTCATCGAACTATAATGCGAGAACATTTATTATAATATAAAATTTAAAAATGGAGATATTTAACCATTTCGATTTAAACGAAACACCCTGTATATCGAACAAACGATGCTAACATCTCGTCAATTCTTCTATGTCTATCATTTTCCCACATTTTAATAAACCATTCAGGAATCTACATTTATATAACGTCTCTTCTTCGCGTCTACTCATAGAACAATTCCCACAATTTGACCGTTTAATCTCGATCAGCCAGTGCATTAATATTAATCGTTTCGCAGTCAACGCACATTAGAGGATAGCCGAGTCCGGTAGAATTAGAGACTAAATCGCAACACGATCCTTCCAGACACGGCACAACACACAAGTAGCGAACAGGATTACAAACAATTATATTACCCGACCTAGCAAACATTTTCTAGAACGTTCGAAAAAGGTTCAAGCTCACGGCTACGATGTTGTATAAATCTATTATCAAATAAAAAATAAACGTTACCGAATGGACATATGGACTCACCGATGCTTCCTTTAGGACTGTCGCTCCCGCCCACGATGGTGAATCCCAGAGACTTCTTTCCAGGACCCTTCTGGAAGACGACAGTGAGGAACGTCGAGACGGTGCTTCGAGGTCTCCTGGGTAGGGTGCAAAAATTCGAGACGCTTTGAGAGCCACTGTTATCCAAATTCACCCCAGATTTATCCGAAGACATGGACCTATTAGACTCGCTCTTCCTGTCGCGATGGTGCCGCGTCTGATGTTTGGTGAATCGCGATTTGGGAGAGTTCTCAACGATGACTCCATGGCCATTTTCCACGTTAACGTTCTCATAATCAACGCTGCTCTCTCTCAGCTTCTTAGGCGACTGATCCACGGCGGAATACCTCGAGACGACAATATCCACTTCCCCAGGACCGCTACCGCTCCCGAGGATCTTCCTAGCCTCGGCCATGTTCAGCCCTCGCAACCTTTTCCCGTTAACGATGAGGATTTCATCGCCGATTCGCAAGGTGCCCTCCTTATCCGCCAGTCCATTCGGTACCACATGCGCCACCAGGTAGCCAGGGCTCGATTCCGCTGTTTTCGCGATGAAGATACCCAAACATTGATCAGAACTTTCTCTAGGCAGCTTTACAACCATCGTCTCGATAGTGTACGGCCTGTTCCTGATGACTGGTAACCTAGCGCTTTGATTACTCTCCGAGCTCATCGATTCTTTCCCGTCGAGCCTGGTGATTATCTCTTTTCTATCAGACTTCTTTGTATCCTGTCGATCTCGTCGATCTATCAGCTCGTTGTTCGCAGCCTGGCAGATCTGATTGGTCGAGTCCTCGAGAGCATGTGCTCTGGACGCGTCCCGTCTGCAACCTCTGCCCTCGTTTCTGCTGCAATAAACGTCCAGGCTGGAGAACAGCCTAGCGGTCCTCTCGACATCCACAATGGACGAGGAAGGTTTCCTCGGTGGCAGCTGCGGCGGAGAATTCAAAGACGAGTCGTTCAGGCCGGTCAGCAAGCCGGAAGCGCTGCTGCTGCATCTGTCGTCGAGCAGAGAACTGGTCGCGGAATCATTATCCAGGATTCCCGAGTCGTTGTCGTCCTGGTCCTGTTCCTCGTACAGAGGGTTCGTGCGGAGTTCCTCAAGCCCTGGCAGAGTACCGTACGAGAAACTCCTCAGTCTTCTTCTTTCTCTTTCCTTGCCCTCCTTCTTGTAGATCTTCGCGATCAGCTTGCTGGTGGAGCTCTTCAGGTACCTGTCCTGCATCGCCCGAAACTTGGCGGCCAGGCAGCTGGACGGCGTTATGCTGTCGAACTGGGAGCCATCTTTGAACGATGGGTCTTCGGTGCCAACGGTGACCTCGGGATCGTGGTCTATCGGTCTCCCAGAGTCGCGATGACTCTGAACGAATTCTTTGCTCTTTCGCCACCTGCGACAGTGTTGATTCTCTTCGACGATGTTCTTCTTGGATCGCTCGGGTGTTTTTTGCTCGAGGGAAGGACGAAAGCCAAGGATCGAGAAGCGTTCTTCCTGATGCTTCCTGTGAGGGAGTCTGCTCTGGGACTTCGAGCGTCGTTTCCTCTTGGCTTGGATCTTCTCTTCCTCTATGATTTCTTTCAAGTCTGACTCGCAAACCGACCTGCGAAATTCGTTTCTTGTGATACCGCGTTGGTTCAGCTCGCACATGGAACGGAATTGTAGCTTGTCAGGGTCTTCATCTTCTTCCTGGTCATCGTCGTCGGAATCACGGTCCTTGAAGAAGCTCAGCCTGGTGTTTCTCACTCGGTCCAGGATTGGGTTCCGCTTCTCACCGATACGTCGCCTCTCTTCTTGGATCCTTTTCTTGTCCTTCTTGGCGGGACTCCGCTCGGTCGTCACTTGAGACGTCTGTACGTTGTAGCAGTTCCTCTCCGATTCGGAACTCGACGATTTCCTGCGAGCCCATCGCACCGGGGACATGTCTGTCGAAAGAAAACACGTACTTTGTGGTGGATTTCAGATTAAAGGGACCTAGGTATTAGATTGTTGCATGTACAATGTCTGATTATACAGACTTGGGATGTTATCTTTGTTTCGTTACATAATTGGGCTAACTCTATAAAATGCTCTTCGTTTCCTTATAACTTTACGATTATGTATTAAAAAGATTTTTAAAAGTAGCTTTTTTTTTGTAATAAAATACAAATGGTATGGGATACATCTGATTTTACATCAATTTTGAGGCTGATTAACAGTTAAACATTTTAGACAATTAAAACATCTACGACTATGTTGATAACATTTTTTGATTAAAGAACAAATTTTTAAAGCCCTCTACTGAAAACCCTTTCAGTCTTTTAAAATAAATATAAACAAAAAAATCCCTTAGACACAAGAAATAAATATAATAATAAGAGTAATAACAGTAATTCTTAGGACTCACCGATACTATTTCATAATAACTAAATCATTTTTAATTGAATAATATTAAAAAATTCATGTCACTCGACTTCCAGGTAAAAATGTTTTATTGCAAAGGAAAAATTGATTAGAATTCGCTATTTTTATTACGTTTAGAAAAAGTAGAATGAATTATGTATAAAATATATGATATATAAAGTTTATACAATGACTAGAAAGAGAAAACTTCTTGATTATGTTTTTAATAAAGGTAAATTACTCTGAGCAATGTTTTCTTATTGCATTAGGTATATTCAATTCTTTTTTTTTTTTGTAAAGAGTTTGCGGACGTCAGTTTAAGAAACGCTGCTGTAAAATATTTTGCACATATTTTTCCACTTGTCAACGAACAGATTTATACTCCCGTACGTTATATTTACCTACTCATTTTTATTTATGAGGTGTTGAATTATCAGCACCATTAATTCTAAGTGAGCCTGATATACGAGCGCAAAAAACTCGTATTGAAAAGTTTTTTATGTATTAAATATACTTTATCTAACGCAATAACTTTATCTATTGTGGTTTTGTCTTTATTATTCCAGACCAATTATGTTTTCAACAATTGCATGAACACCAAATAAAGCTAGAGAAAATTTATTGTTTCTTCTAATTATTGAAAACAATCTCAGTATCATCATGATGCAAGATGACGAAAAAATATTTAAAATTTAAATTGCAATCTACTTTTCTACAGATTTAAAAAGAACAATAAATTTCTAATGTGTATATCAAATATTGTAGTCCATAATGAGTTTGTAGCATGACACTTTCCACCATTCCATGTAGATCACACTTTGATCACTTAGGTCATCGAAATTAAAATTTAAACACATATTACATTCTATGAAATTCTGGACAATCTTCTTCGAATACTCCACACGCAAGGTTAATCCGTCGCTGTATAATTTCGCCTTTACCTAAAGGTGATATGTCCTCGTTCGATGAGAATAAAACACGTGACGATAGTTTTAAAACTTGGTCTAGCAGTGACACTTAAGACGAAAATGATCGTCTTCCGTGTAGCGTGACATTATATGAACTCCAACTTGTGCCTAAGACGCTCGCGCAGGATGTGTGTAAGGCAGGACATCCCGTATGAGCAATTCACATGAGTACGTTGCTCGAGTGATAGTAAAAATAGTTCCGACGAGAGGGAGCACGGTGGGTTGAGGAAGTGGAGGCTGAGAATCGAAGGAATCGGAAGTAGCAAATTGCCTGAGTGTGAATTTCTTTGAGAAATTGAAGAAAGTGTGAAGTATGAAAGTAAAACAGAGTAAGCTGTTAGTATGCTTCATTTCTGACATACATTTTTATGTAGATACGAGATTGTTTGATCGGTAGTTTTGACTTGGAAGAAGGGACATCCTTTGGAAGATGATTATTCGACTTGACTTTCTTAGAGATTGGGTCGATATTACTGTTCAATGTTTTATAAAAGCAGAGGATTCATTCCTTTTTTAATTTCTATTAATAGTTGGTCTAACAGGTTTGAGATTGTGATAATTGGTTACCGTTGAATGATACTATTTTTAAATATAAAAATATCGAAACAGATACAATATCGAAAAGAAAGATAGTATTATTACTATTACAACAGCTAAAGCCAAAGGCTGTTTAAACCTAACACTTATTGAAAAATATATTCAGTCATTTAGTTATTTCTATACACAGATTGTATTTTCAGTAAATTATACATATTGTTGTATATAATATACTTGCTCATACCTTCTTAATTTAGTACTTAAATGAACAATATTTATGTACGAATACCGTCATGTTTCTAAAAGAGTACAAATCTTTTTGTTTTCGATTATAGCTTTAAATTTCAACATTAGATGATAAAATATAACAAAAATATGAAATTCATAACAGCATAATGAATTCATTTTGTGAATACAAAAAAAAATTAAATAATATTAAGGTAGAATGATAATCGTAATAATACTATATTCAATTTCTTTAATATTCTCATACGTATACAAATATAAATTTTAATCTGTAGAGATATTACATTAAATAATTTCTATTAAAGAAAACGAATCTTAGGAGAGAAGAGATTAATGGAGCCCGTGATTAATATGAAAGGTATAATTTGGTTAAACGATTTCGGCATTGCATAAATACCCGTAGCAGTATCTTCTCTGGTTTCAAGTAAACATCAGAACGAATTTAGCGAATTACAGGAAGCGAGTTTCGCTCGATATCTATATTTCTCGAGTATCGACGGTAATGATAGAGAGCGTGGCTAAGAGTTACACGGTAAATGGACCTCGGGGTTAGAAAGGATCGAAGAAAGCGTTTCATGACAGAAAAAAAAAAAGTAATGGACACCGTGCTTCTGTGGTAAATGCATCATGACAAACTGATGGACGAGAACAACAGAGAGAGAGGAACGATTTCACCGAGAGCGAGGTAATTGGACTGTAACCAGACTGCCAAAAGTCTGTCCAACGTTACAAAATTGAAAGCGCGGCGGGACAATAATTGCAGAAGAACGTGTAATCAGTGTTTACGTAAGAGGAAGGTAAACATTTCAAGAAAGCGTGGTCCGAGGTATTTACTAATCCTGAATATAACGTGATTAAACTTTACTTCGTTTCTTTTCAACAGGAAGTGGTCAAACAGAAAATTCAAATTTGATTATTGTAATTACGATACTACTTTCTTAAACATGATTGTTGAAAGAGAATCTTGATTGCTGTGTAAGTAATGAAAGAGATTCGGGAAGTCGTTAGTCATTTCTGAAATACTTTGTAGGAGAAAATTGAAAACGCTATGGAAGCTGTTAAATTTTGGAAATAATTCGGTAATTTTCGGGGACTCAATACAGAATTTTTATTACGGTTTTTCAATAATTAGTTTACGATTAAATATAAGAAACATTGATTAACGTCTTATGGTTTATTCTGGCAAAACTATTACTTACGTATATTCCTATTAGGCTAATAGATATCGTATTTAAATACGTAGAGTAATTGTGAAATTAATTTCTATTTACCTGTTCGTAATATTACGAAATCTTTTACCATCGATCTTTCTTGTTACAAAGGAATTCGCTGAAATTTATTTAACGCCGCAGGACTACTGTTGGTCAACGATATTATAAGGTTTTTCTTTAGCATTCGAGGTGAGTTTACGAAATTACACGGCTATTTTACTGTTTGCCTGATCATGAAACATGAGAAAGTTTTTGTTTGAAATGAAAATAAGAAATAGCAATGTGAAATAATATTACAGTTTTTTTATTTGTTGCAACAATTATTTCGAAATAACGGCAATATCGATTTTCTTGTAATAATGGATATTTCAAGTTGTGGAGTTATGTATTGCTTTATTTAAAATAGTATATATTTCAAATGATCAAGATATTTAATTATTTGAAATAACAAATATGCTAAATAGCAATGTTAAGGTATACATGACGAATACATATTTTTTTTCTTCTGAATAAATGTATTCGTTACTTAGAATATTAATACTTTTTTAGCTAAGCATGTGACGTGCTGGCGAAACTTGTGTTAGAACTTGCGACACTCTATATGATTGCGACTGATAGTAATGTAAACTATTATCACATCGTATATTTAAGATTGTAAATACGTATGTTGAGTAATGACTATAAAAAAACTAATTACTAAACCATAACAAAATATCATATATTTGCAACATGTTATTCATTTTCAAGTGCATTTTACTTTTTCCTTATTTCAGATACAAATTAGATACCATAACTGTATTTCAAGAAAGAAGTAACCGTGAAATAAGACAACAGTAGTATTTCAATTTAGGTTATTTTATAAGTTTCGAGGTCTGCATGGTACCATGCAACCTTGCATGATCCATAATAAAATAAATGTGAATTTCTCTGTAATAAAGTGAATATGTTGAAAATATACATCATACACTGCACAGAGTACTGCAGTGATTTATAATGCAACTTTTCATGAGACTGTTCTTTGTTATGAAGTAAAATTCAAATACTAAATTTGACCTTTAATTTGTCAAATTTTTATGCAAAGCAATGTAATAAAACTGATTTAAAGTGGAAAGAATTTTGATCGTTGTACAGCAAAGATTCTCAATTCTCTTCTATAAAATCTAATTAATTTTTCCTTTTAGAACCTTTTCAATAACTTTATCAATAACTGTCTACTAGATCTTTATTATCAAATAATGAACAAAGTGTTCGCAGCCTATCTGAATTGCTAAAATGACGTAAGAGGAAACGGCAATACACAACAATAATTTAACTTCAGACGAAAAGAATGCAAAAAAGTGAGCTTTGTGGGTTTACTGTAAAAATGGATAGCGCAGTCGGGTCAACGTTTCGTCGCTCCTAGCGCCGGGTTTCGCGCCAAAAACCGCAATGATGTTGTCATAGCCATTCATAGAAATACGCTGACGAAGAGTGCGGTTTTCCGGTGAGGGTGTTCGTTTGCTGGCAACGTAAATACACACTAAGATTAGCGGCATTACGACCGTCGTTGCGAGAACACTGGGATTGCTGTCTCGGAAGAACGTATATACTAATCCCGTCGTTATTTTGCAATGCTGTTGTACCCAGCAGCACAAATAACATAGGATTTCTGTAACTTGATAATCCGCTCACTAATGTTCACATTGTTACCTTCTTTCACAAAATTCAGAACTTTATTACAAAACAAAGCTTTAGCTTTACAAAGTATATTCCTCTAAGAGTCAAGAGATATTTTAATACCTTGCGAATGAATTAAATAAATTTAAATTAATGCTGCGAATTGTAACTACTCATTGATTTGAAGACATTATTTTGAAGTTGAAATCTTCTATCTATCAATTTATTTATTTATTGATTCCATTGGATATGAAGTTTATAAAATAAAAGCTGTTTATCTTGACCCATTCACTGCCACGAGATGTCTCGAATTCAAATTGATAGTAATTACTCAAGTAAATTTTATTTTTAAGACAAACACAAACACAAATTTAATATCACTTTTTATTATCAAACTAATAACCTAGATTACACATCTGTATTAAAACTTGGCGCCCAAGGCAAAACGTTTTAAATTTACTAGATAGTGAATGGATTAATTGAAAGCAATATCAACAAAATGGAGGAATTTAAATGCTGTTTCTATTATTGAAAATGTTGTCTCTCCGTCCTACTTCTGATAATCGACGCTCTACTGTCAATACGTTTATGCTAACGTAATGAACCTTATTATCAAACTGCTACTATCACATGTACGAGGTATAGTCAATTTTATATTCAAGAAAACGCTCTAATTGAAAGAATGTACTCTGAAACGTTCACTGCACTCTTTCTTTGATCATTTTAAACAGCTCATAAAACTTTCTAATGTACCACGCGTTTCCACAAACTTCATTTATAGAAGATGCGGTTATTGCAGTCAGTTTATATTGGCTCGGTGCACGTGGCCTTTACAGTCTCGTTGAACTTATAAAACATTGCGTGCCTAAAGTGCACTTCATGGGTAGGTTACTTGCTCGTTTAGCCAAAATGCGATGCTTTACATGAAAAAGTAAACAATCAGTCCATATAGAGACGTGGAAAACTCAAGAAAAAAGTGTTGCTGGATACCAGTGAACGTTTCCACTCCAAGTCGCAACTTTCTATTCTAGAATTCAAATTAAAGGTTATTCTCTTCGTCAGGATTCAATTGAATTCAAGGTCACTTTTTTAAGCTTGAAGAGAGAATTCCTGTCTAATATAAAATAAATTTCTAATGTGAAAATTAAAGAATAAATTTTTCAATAGTTTTACTGTGATATAATCGTGATGTTTGCTAAGAAGTTCTAGTTTGTGAATATAAAGGTAGAACAAACACAATTATTCAGAAAATAATTTATCGATACTTCCATGAAATGTACGACGCAGTTAATGAAGTGTGTTCTAATGATTCTAAAGCAGGTGTACGCAATATCATGTTGCGTTAGAGAGAAAAAGGTCATGGTATTTTATCTCGTGTGGACTATGTCTAAAGGACTGAGTAGTGATTGAGGATGTTGCTATCTAGTACACAGGTGTTCTTAAACAAATTCATAAGAGTCTGGTTTAGTATTTAAAATTATTATAGTTGGGCTATATACATTATTGAAAAGACAACAATAACAGTTACATGTTATAACTGTTGATACACTCCCTAGTTTCTTTCTTCTCAACACTGCTATTTGTGCAAACATTCAATTGTCCTAAATATTTAGAGTTCTATTAAACAAGTTTTCTTTTGAATTTAGAATCTTCGTTCTGAATAATAATTAATTACCCTCAATTATGCAACAATTTTAAACGACAGTATTTGGTGGTAAAAATGGATTAAATACATTATAGAATAACAGATCTTTTCAATCATTTTTTCGTTGTGTCCAATACTATATTAAAATACTCAAAATATTTAACCTCTTCAGCTATAATGTAGTGTACACGTACTTCAGGATTATTTTTTGATATACAATAATGAGTTTATGATAAAAGTGTCTCGTAACCATGCGTAAAAAGTTTACAAATAATTTAACATTAATGCAACATTACGAAACGTCAGAGAGGCGTTACAAGTCAAAATACTTAGAACAATCTCTACGTCAAATCGAATATTAAATAACATTAAGCAATCTTTATCATCCTTAAAATCTTTCTTTTTTAATCTTTACACAATGATTCTATTTATAATTTAAAATACATTTAGATCAAATGAATTTTACCACTCAAAATAAATAAATAAATACTAATAAGATTCGTTTTTTAATTTAATTTATCGAGGCCCAAACAACTCGAAATGCGTGGGAAATATTTTATTTACTCCAAGAAACGATACAGAACCTGTATCAGAATTTTATGCATCAAGTGACACATTTGTTAACTCGCTGAGTTGTAAATAGTTTAACGTCAAGTGTCTTCGCGTGCTCGTTAAGGTTCAGAATGTTATCTTGGGAAAAGTTGTGCACTATATTGGGAAGAAATACGTTCGGTTTTGACTCGTAGCCAGCGGCTAATTAACGACGCCAGGACGATCGTAATTCGGATTACGAAAGTTACCGTCGCATCCTGTTTTTTTCCAGTGCGGTAATTGTATCGGCGGTTTCTCACGATTCTTACCTCTGTACTGAGACGCGGCATGAAAGTGGTAAGATGCTCCGTCGAGGTCTTCATCAGCTTGAAGAGGACTTAGGCTTAACAGTCTCGGTGCCTCGGCGTGGCCACGAAACCAACGCATTTCTGAAACGGTGAAACAACACTTTCACTTTTCGTTGATTTTCCCTTACATTTTCAATAATAATATTGAATTGACACTCTTCGACCTTAAGTTTTCACTTTTGTGAAAATACTAAAATTACAGCTTTCCATAGACTCCCTCGATAAAGGAGAAATAGAATAGAATTGAATTATTATTCCGTAAATATATATTTTAAAATTAATTATTTGAATAAGATAACAAAAAATTCCATTTCAAGCATTTCGTTATTTTATTAATGAGCGTTTCAAGTGAACAAATTTCTGGGCTTCGTTAGCAAAGAAATGTTGAAATTATGTTATGTACTGCGAACTTTAAATACGATAAGTGAAAGTATGTTAAGGAATCTGTAACTGGTTAAATAATTTAGTATAGTTTTCTAAGCAAGAATATTAAATTGTATACGTAACGGAGCAATTTACTTCAATTGCTCTGCCTTCTACTATTTTTTTAAGAGACTGTAAAATTAATGATATCCTAACAGGAACTTATTTAATATATCAGTAAAATATTATGCTTGAAATATGTTGAGTTATAGTTCCTTCACAACACAGATATTAAGATTTCTAATACCTGTTATTCTCAAATGTAATTATGTATTTATTTCGCTGAACCTGCTTAAGAAATAATTTCTTTTTCATTTTATAAGTGGAAATTAAAATTTTATATTGGTAACAATCTCATTTTTATGTCAAAAGATGTAATGTACCATAAGTGGCCTAAGACTTTTGCACAGTACTGTATTTCTCCATAGGCTCGTGTACAATCTAGCCAGTGATTGAAAAATAGGGCAAATTTGGTTAAATGTAGACGGATCTCGATGAAATGTCAATTCCATGCAATGCCAGATCGAATAATAATATGTATGAATAAAAGCGAAACGGTTACACTCACGGTGAATGGATTTCGCGTGAACGAACGGCGACAGTTTCCGCCGCGATCGCTGAACCGAGGCCATTTCTTTTTCTGACCGACGCGTTACACTTGTTTAACCGATACAAGGTACGTGGTCACGAGGAAAAAGACCCTGATAATTTAATGATCAGCAACCTTGAAGAACGTGAGAGGCAAAAAGAGGGAGGATGTTGTAAATTACAGACTTGTCGTTTAACGCGTTCATTGTCACACTCGATTGTCAAAGAGCGATCGAGAAATCGGCTTCGCTGCGGGGAGGAAGGTCGGGGAGTTTTGTGACTGAAAGATGAATGCTTTAGTGGCAATTATACTCGCAGCTTCGTAAAAGAATGCAGCATGAAAAATAAAATTCGTACACTGTGAACAAAATTAGAATCTAAAAGTATTGGATAACATAATGGTCAATTGGAGTACTAGTAGTATAAATATACTATCTATTACTGTAGACAGTGGCACTATGTAATTTACCCGGAACGTACAAATAAAACCGAACTCGATGGGTCCAAAAAATATTATTTAATTTCACATAACTGAACAGTGATGTCGAAGCTGAGAAAGAGTACATTTTATTTTGATTTTTGGATTTGTGTATAACATTTAATCAGGTTGATACATAATGCTAATGAAGAACAACTGAATAACACTGAAAAATAATAATTTAATAGTTCTGCAATGAGGCTGCTCAATGTGTGTGAAAAATATAATAAATAAACATAACTCATTTAAAGACGTGTGTATTGCAATCTCTAAAAAATACAAAAATTAAATTCCATTCAACCCCAATGTGGAAGCAATACCAATCTCATACAACCTCATTCCCACCAAAAATTTAGTTCCAGTACCTAAAAAGATAGTAAGGCAAACCCATCGCTAATGTCCAAGCAGATTACGAGACATGAAACAAAACAATTTAAACAAAAAGTTGGAGGCTTAAAAATATGAAGTACAAGGAAATTTCATATTCAACAGAGACTTTTTATCCACTAACACATTTATGTAGGTCAAACGTCACAGGATATCCTGAATGAAACAATAATCTCTGAAGGATGTAGGTAATTGGGTATCCATAACTTGGTACAACTGCGATCAATAACTAATCATTCAGATTGAATGCGATTTCATGAATTCAAACAGAACTTTTTTCTTAATCTGTCGGAGTCGCTGCATTTTTCTGATAATTATTTAATCATATCCTTGAGCATTTTCTTCAACGCATCGCGAGTTTGAATGAAAACGAGGTTACATACATACTTTATCAAAGGTAAAATGCATTATCAAGTCATCAAATCTGGTAATATAACGGACTCTAGGTTAAGTAGCGTATAGCATTAATTATTTTCCCATTCAAGTGGTTCACACCGGAACGATACTACATAATTACTTCGGAATTCTGAAATATTTTTGACTCGCATTTCTATAATATGTTGTTAGGCTACACCTCTACTTCTTCAGCCTAATGGATTATTGATTAACTAAATGATATTGGTTACTAAGGATTAACGCATAGGAATAGAAAAGATAAACAAAGCAAATATGAAATTTACCTTATTATTTACTTAATTCATTTTGTACTTTATGTAACGAACATTACGTTATTGATGCACACTGTGTAATAACTTCTTCAAACTCGATACACATGACAACGTTTGTGTTTTATTTTGAATATGTATTGGAATATCTACTTTATGCATTTGCATGTTTCAAATGATACAGCAAATTCTATACGTAAAACTACCCATTCATTATATTACGTTTGAAGTCTAAATATAAAGTAATTAGGTACGTATCTCAAAGTTAAATCATCAACGGAACTGATTCTGATATACAAATTTGTTTCAGGTAATATTTTAGACAAAGGAAATTGGATATTTCACATAAAATGAAAGATTATTATTTGGTAGACCAATTATTCTCACGAAATCCTGAGAGACGAAATATGCAAAATAAATACTCAAAGCAAAACTATTAAAAGGACCGATTCTATTACAAAATTACTTCATAAAATATTTTAAATATAGTGTCTCACACAACGTGAAAAGAATTGTTTGCCTGTTCTTTAACCCATTCAGATGTGAAATCTAGGTTATTATTTTAATAATAAAAAGTGATATTAAATTTGTTGTTTTAAAAAGAAAATGTACGATCTTCTTTTGCAATAATTCGTGACTCAAAAGACTATAAACTTATCCCTTGAGTAATTGCATTGAATTTGAACTATGAGTTAATGGATAAATTCAATCGACAGGATTTCAAGAAAAGGACCTTCCTAGTCAAAAGATTCTTCACCTAAAGTCATATCATCAAACTAACAAATTCAATAACAGACTTACTTGACAAAATATCATGAATAAAATACCTTAAGTAAAGTGAAAAGGATTATTCGATTATGTCTTGACGGATAAATTCAATCGATAGAATTCAAAGAGAAGAAACTTCCCAAAACAAAAAATTGTTGTCTCCCAAAGTTACACCACCAAAATACCTAATCCATTTACAAATTTGCTTAACGAAATATCTCGAATAAAACATCTCGCATTAAGTGAAAAGAACCGTTCGTTTATTCCTTAATGAATAAACTCAGTCGATAAGATTCCAAGAGAAGAAACTTCCCAAACAAAAAATTCTTATCTCCCAAAGTCACGCCATCAAAGAAATTAATCTAATTACCTGGCGGAATGTCTCGAATAAAATACCTCGTATAAAATGGAAAGGACTGTTCGTTCGTTGATTGGCGAGTTCGTCTCGATAAGGACTCGCTTACCGCGTACGGCACGCGTTCAAATCTCCAGAACAGAAATGTGGCGCCACAGCCGTTACGATGCTAATGTACAATCGTTCGCAGGGAAAAACATTTGAGTTATCTCGCAGACATTTTCCGTTCACCGTGTATGTACCGTTGCGAGCAACTGTCGGCAATAACCTATCCTTTTTCTACCACGAATCCACTGTAACTGGCCTCTCGCGACTCCGCCAGACAGAATCCTCACGGAGGCGTTACCGTTCATCTGCTCCGCGTAGAAACCGTAATTTAGCCACCTCGTGCTCGTAGAAACGATCCTGGGAATATAATAGCTTCTACTTTAACGGTTCGCGAAGTCCTCCATAGCGAATTGCAATTTCTTTTTTCCGCCTCGTAGCTTGCGTTCGATGAAACGACGAATTTCCGGCACTGTTATCTTGTCAACGAGAAAACAGCGACAAAGAGTGCTGTTATTTGTCATTCGTTGAGCTTTATCGGATCCCTTTGGGGATTATTACGGATTTCCCATTAAGCCGGAATACTATATTAAGTAGCTGAAGAATTTGTTGTCGATCAAAGGAACCAATATTAAATTCTAGAGATTTACTGATAATGGTTTATGAGCTTTGTAATTTATGGTTTAAAGAGCTATCTTTGAATTTAGTAAACTCGGAATTTTCTCCGAATGTAAATAGAATGTAGTATTTGAGATATTCGATAAAGAAGCCCTGTGTATTTTTTGTAAAAGCGATATAAAAGGACACTACTTTTGTTTTAAGAAAGTTTTTAAGATATAATTGGTAGTGCGAAGATTTTAAATAAGCTGAAATAATTCATTGTTTATATGGAATTTGATGAAAATAGAAAATGCTCTAATTCGTGCAAGTAAATGTTACAAAATTTCTTGTTCTTTGCGGACAAGTTGATGTACAAGTTGGTACTCGGTCTAATTTGTTTTTTCAGATATCTCCTCGCGCAAACCTAAATGTCGTGACCTCTCCAAGGTGATGGAGGTTCATAAAACTCACAAGTCGTTATTTCTTAATTCATCCTTAATAATTCATTTCAGCTGTCGAGCACGTAAAGTACCAGCTGAACTAATCGAAATCTTTTGTACCAAGTTCAACACGTTTAAATTTTTTTTACAGTGGGTGTACAAAGTATTCGTACACCTATCAATTACCAAAAAACTATGTATGTGAAATTGTAATTTATTAACTTCTTTTTTTATGAAAAATGATATTCTACATATTCTTGTACAAATTAACAAGAAAAAACAATAAATCGATGGAAATATAGAAGCAATAAGTATTCGTACAACTGTTAAAT